GCTTCCTGCAATTCAGTTAGCAAATAGTTTAATAACAGATACCGCTGATACAGTCAAGGTATGCATAAAAATGTCATTTAGTGTATAAAGCGATAATTCACCAGAGAGTGCTGTCGTCAGATCATAATTATGTGTATATGACCCGTATTCATCACCTGCTGGCCAAGATGAGTGTAAAGAGTTGGCACAGGGAGATTAAACATATCTATGAGATGCCTAATAATGATTAAAGGAGCTTCAAGGTACGTTGTAGCCAGTTGGAGCCCATTTGGTGAAGTTAGGATGAAGAATGTCCTCATTTAGAATGCCTGCTGACTACCTCAAAGAGAGAGAAGTGAGGAAGCATGTGACAGAAGGAGAGAGAGGGAGAGACACACAGGTTATGGCCAGGGGTGGATCTAGAAAACTGTGGATGGGGTGGCCAGCCTGGAGTGTAGACATTCGGGGGCACATTTGAAATACATGTAAAATATCAGTTAAACCCCAAGTTCTATGAACTAATAAACCGTACATTATTAATCAAAGTGTTTATTATGGGTAAAAATGAGACACACACAGGGCGTTGTTTAGCTAAAATTGGCTGAACTCCTTATTTACTCCAAGCCAGGGACTTTGATCGATATTAATTATAATGTTAGTTGTGTTTAAGGCAACAATTTGTCAGTGTTTGTGATTTTTCATTCATTAATACTGACCAGCATCACATTTTGGATGCTGGGTGTGGCCGGTGCCTCTCCTGGTCACCCCATTGGCTCTGCTCGTGACTATGGACACTGTCTCCTGTTCCAAAAAACACTTCCTTCTCTATCTCTCTTTTTCCGACCAGCACTGAGAAAATGCACATAATCAAGCTCATTATCTTTTTCTTTCATATAAATTTTCCAGGCTGTAATTTCCTCATTATGCATTTGCAAAAGCTAACAAATTTTGTTCTTGGTTACAGATCATTCATTTATGATAGCTCACTAAACAGAGTAATTGTTTTAGTTTCTTTCATAAGGCAGCATTAATGACTCGAGTCCTTCAATGCATCATGTGAACAGTGGGAGCATTCAGTAAATCTGCCAGGCAACATGCACCACCCAGAAAGAAAAAAAAAATTCAGTACAAGGATGGAATGAATGAATATGCAGTATCTTAATATGTGTGATCATAAGTGCTATAAAGGGGAGAAAGGTGAGGATGATACCGAGGTCCAGGATTAACAGAGGCCCACAAAATCTATATAAAACCATAGGTGTCATGCCCATTTATTTTGATAAGATGACTATTGTAATTGCTCATTTTTATTTTTGCAGTAAGTGTTTTAATTAGCCATACTAATAAAATTTAAAAGGTACTTTAAATCAGACCAGTTCACACAGACTTTCTGTGTTCAGGCAATTTGTTTTTTTTTCCAGCTGGAGAGAGCAGGTAATGTCAGCGCTGCAGAAGCATACATTGACATGTAGAAGTCAAGCAGACACACAATAACATATAGAGTACAGTGCATAAACTAATAGGAATTCTAATGAAAAGTACAGTAGAAAATATTTGTCTGTTTTAATCCTGGTACCTTGTGAGTATGAAACAATTGGGAGTTCTGCATCCTTATCATATATAGCTTGACAGCTTCAGTATATTCTGTATGCCTGTGCTTTCTTTCATAAATCCAGACAACTGGGTACACAGTAACACACAGTGTCCAGGAAACCTAGCAGGATTTCAAAACTGAATGGTATAGAAGAGGTTCTGTTTATAGATGGATCTGTCAGTAGAAAAAACCTCTGCTGACTCCAGATTCTCATCTTAACAGGTGAGGCTCCTTGTTGTTTTTACATAGTCACGTTAAAAAAAATAAAAATAAATAAACAAGATATTTTTTAAGCAGCACATTGTTTTAACCTGGTTTTCACTTGGTTTCTTCAGCCTCACACATCTTTGTGTGAAAAGCACAGCTCAGAATCTGTTTATAACAACAGAACATGAAGGAAAAGATGAGGATAAACAAATGAGCTCTTAATGCACCAGAGTCCCTTTAAGTAATTTAAAAAACAGTGACACTACTGGTGCTGTAAACGACATGTTCAAAGATTTTTTTACCAAGACTGTAGATTTGTAGATTTTGCATTTTTTGAAATTTCATTGTTACACATATTAACTAAATAATAATACACAAATTTCCAGATTTGGGGAGAAAATATAATGAAAACAAAAGCAGGTTACATGGCAGTTTATATCACTAGCCCTGACAAGTTGGCACATACAGGTAAAGAAAGATTTTCTGTCATGGACACAGCTCAAGTCCCAGGTTCCTGGGACTATAGAGAATCCTCTGAACCCACAGGCTGTCAGCTAGGTTTGGCAGAGATATAGTATGTGCAGGCCACTGTAGATAACTTTTCCTCGTGAATGAATACTGCCTGAATTTCCCCAGCACAACAAAGCGACAAAGTGCAGTGTAGCAGATGTTGTGGAGGCGGCCTGGAGGAGACATGAGCAAGGATACAAGAGACCATCCTTCACAAAAGTCTTTTTTGGACCAACTCAGCCCTTTATCGGAAATCAGTTGGTGATGGGACGCTTCCGATGAAGGATTGGAGGAAAAGATGTCTCATGGCTGTAAAATGTGACTCTTTGATTCCTCCCTCCTCAGATTTTTCCTTGTGTCATTTCCTCACATCTTATATGGGCAGGACTAAAACACATGAAAAAGATGCACGTGCCAGAAACATGGATGCAGTTAAGGGAACTGAGAAGACTTCCTATTGTGAGAAAGGTTGAGTTTGCCCCTGTACCTATATGAACCTTTTTAATGTCCTGTTGGTAATAAGACTGCCTATAAGAGACTCTCAGCAGTGTTCCTGCTTCTCAGTTGTCACTACGCTACTGTACATGTGTCAGTCATCCCCCCTGTGCATCCAAGGCATGTGAGCTTGCCAAGTGTATGCTCACCTGCACTTTTGGCTGTGGCTGCAATACTCACACTGCCTACCTTAATCTGTCATTTACAGTACCTGCACTGTATTACTTACCTGTGCACCTGTTTGCCTCCCTCTGAATCAGTTAATATTGCTACCTGTGTTCCTGCCTGCCATTACGTGTCTGTGTCAACCATTATACCTGTGTTTATCATTTTACCTGCCCAAGTTACACTGCTGTTCACTACTACACAATTAAAGCCCTGTTCACTCTTCACCAAGACCACCTTGTCTCCATTTCTGCATTTGGGACCTAACTAAACTTGTAAAATGTGACACATTCCAGTGTCAGACAGTAACAGGCTCTTTTGTCTGAAATGACTCTCCTTATTACTCCACTTTTAAAAAAAATACTTTTTAATACTTAAAATTGAGGTCTCTTCAGTCCCTTATAAGCGCTTCAAATATACTCAGGGGTTAGGTGACTATTATGAGTGATATAATACCAGAAAAGGCACCTTAAGGGATGCTACAATAGAGGGCCAAAACTTCTGTACTTGCTGCTTATTTAAACAAAAAAATAATAATAATCAGTGTTGACTATAGCTCTTACATACTGTTCATGGGATGCTATTTGTGCAGCATTCCTGTCATGTCTCACGTTTCCACCCTAACACTTTGTTTACAAGGGCAGAGCAGTAAAAACAGTATGTCAGCAGCAAAACAGCAGTGGTCGATGTTCATTCTGGATTTGCAGCAGTACTGGTGGGCACTCACAAGTATTTTGACAGAGCTGACAGACCAAAACAGAATTGTGGAGGCTAAAGAGACACTTCAATTTGCAATCACACATCTGAAGTGGAAGTGAAGCACAAGCCATTATATTGCTGGTGTTAAAAGACTGAAGCAGAGGCCTATATATCCTGACTTTTAGTCTCGTGTGACTCACGTGTTCTTCATTTCTGATAATGTAATTCAGTATAATCTCTAATTAGATCTGGTTTGTAATGCAGGCAGTTTTTTTTTTATTCTCAAGCCAAAGCCAAGAAAAAAATGACGATTTTTATCATTTGGAAAACTCCTTCAGAGTCACAGAAGACATTATACAAAAGTTTTCACAGGCTTAGTAGTATGTCTCATGACAAGTAAAGTGGCCCAAATGTGTAAATTGGGTGGAATGCCCCTTTACAGTACAATACAGTAAGTTTTACTGCCATTAACTCACAGTCATGAAATGAAAATCTCACACAAAGGATATAAAAACTATGCTTTGCAATCCCAGTTGATTAATAAAAGCAAATAGCAGTGGAAGCTTAGGTAGCTTAGCTGCTATTCCTCATTGCTGTGCCTGTCGAGATGGTGATCACACCGGCTTCCAGTAATTGAAGTGGGACTGGAGATTTCATTTCCATATTTCGTATTGTTACAGTAAGTCAGGTGTTAAAAGCCTTCTGCATCAAAGCTGAGTGCCAGAGCTGCATGAAGAAAGCTACCTTGCAAAAGTCAGTGGTGTGGTGTGCACTGACTGACAGTAGTTCAGTTTTTCCATCATCTTTCCTATTTCCATTACAGTTGGGTTGACAAGTATGATTCACTGAACATAACAATTCCTTTGTATAACTCAGTAATGACTGAACTTAGTGGAAAGTAACAATAAGTATAATGTTTGCTCAGAAGGATCTCTTATCATCAAATTTAAACTATTATTGTGAAAAGCTTGTACAGTAAATTAGCAATTGTCACTGACCCCTCCATGGGCAAGCTCAGTAACTGCATTAATTAATATAGGAAATAGATAATGCCATGTGATAGCACTACAGAAAAATCACATAACAAGCACACTGAACAATGACAGGCCAGAAGAGGCAGCACAGCCATGCAACAACATGGTGTAGCAGGCAGGTCCTGCTGGGATTAAAGAGGAGCTAATGGACTGTAGGGCTGATATAACAAAGATACTTGGTGTTGGTTTGGTTCAGCTGCCAGTCAGCCATACTGTGACTAATGCTTTATTTTAGAAGTGACCCATGTTTATTTGAAACATCTCTACAAATGCTGTGGTTGGCCAAGCTGTGTACATATTTAAATCATATAACTCACTTGAATGAATGGAAAGAGGAGACCCACGGCAAAGTTGGACAGCCAGTTCACGGTGCCAGCGATCATGAAGGCAGCAGGGCGGTAGGACTGTTCAAACAGTTCCCCGGTCAGGATAAAGGGGATGCCACCTGACAAAGCAGAGAACAGAGACCACTAGTTTCACCAAATCGCAAATATTATGCTTGTTTTTGTTATCACCCTATTGTCAGTCAGGACTTCCTTTGGCTTATAGTACACTGTATGATCAATATTGCCAAAACTTGACATTTGGGCACTTTGGTGGGAGATGATGTCAAACTATTACTGTAGGCTGACATCTAGAGTAAACACTTGGCCCACGCAGTTCAAATGTAAACAGCAGTAATTAATGTATACTCATCAGTCTCAATTTAGGAGTTACTGTTAGGTTAAAGTGGGGGTGGCTGTGGCTCACAAGGTAGGGCAAGTCATCTTCTGACCAGCAAGTTGGTGGTTTGACTCCCGGTCTCCCCGCATGCCTAAGTATCCCTGAACAAGACACTGAACCCCGAATTGCTCCCGGTGGCTTGACTAGCGCCGTTGTGTGGCAGCCTGTCGTCATTGGTGTGTGAATGTATTTGTGAATGGGTGAACGGTGTATGATCTCCTGTAAAGTGCTTTGGCCAGTGCAACACACTGTGGAAAAATGCACTATATAAATACAGTCCATTTAAAGTGAAAATGCTGCCATGGCAGAGTTAATCTTGTTTAGCTGTCTACTAGAGCTTAACTTTTTACAATAACCTTAATATCTCTAACCATATTTTATAACAAATTCAATTCCTTTGAACACAGATGAATCTCAAAGCACTAGTAATAAGATGGAAACGTTTTTGCAGCTCGAAAGTAATGTGGTGGGACATTTTGACACTCAGGCCGAGAATGTGGCTTTAAAATTACTGACTAGATGGTTATTCCCCCAGTGTTTTCAACACATTATTCAACACATAATTTGTACTAATGATTCAATAAGGAGAGTTTCTTCACTACTTTAAATTGTTTATAACCCTGTTAACACTGACTGCTCAGTTTAATTTCTTTGCTGTTAATCTATTTCAAATGTTTTTAAATTGAAGCAGCAAGAGCAGCACAGTGAAAGTGTACTTCATAGACACTAAAAAACGAGTGATTCAAGTCATAGTGACCATCGATTTTCCCCTTTAGCCCAAAAAGTTCATTCATTGTTTTTAGAATACACTGTGTCTGTTTCATGTCGAAGTTGAAGGTGTAATTAGTTTCAGCCTGTAAGATATTAAATAGTTAAGAAGAAAAAACTACTCCCAAGTCAATAGAGGAAAACAATGTGTCACACTGTAGCAAAATGTCATTGTACAGCTCATTTTGCCTATACTTTTTTAAACCTTCAAATTGGTGGTAAAGCAAAAATTTTTGTTCTGTTGAAAAGAGCTCATATACTCATAACAGCGTTGTTAAGCAAAGAAAGAAATTGGTCCCTGTAGTGGGGACAAAGCATGTTCTTGTTTGAGGATAACGGCCAGGTTGAGTGACCTGGACTGAGAAGAAAAAGTGAGACCTGTGCTGTGTTGCCACTTAAGATTCTGAACAGAACATAAAGGCTAAAAACCATTATAAAGCCTCATCCGGTTCTTTCAAACCAGGAACTCAGAGGGACGACTCAGACCACTTGAGTATATAAAAAATATATCCGTGCTGGTTTATTCAAAAAGTCACAGGCAAGAATCCACACTTCCAGTCCAGAGATCTTCCAAACCCCCAGCCTGCCAAAGCAGCCCGGAACCAGGAAGACCCCGAACCAAGCATTGCTATACAATATTAATCCTTTCTGGGCTGTCGAACCGTGACGTCACCTGATAAGCAAGCCTTGCAGCTGCCATAACGTTTAGCCAAAACATGAGGAAAAGTCAAGGTGCGTGACTGTTGTTTTCGTGGTGTGTATCTAAACAATTGGACATAACCTTACACATTAAGACAAATATTAAGACTAGCATTACAGTTGACACTAACAGCAGTTTTCCTGTAACCTTGACATGCCTGCAGGCTGAATAGTTAACAGCCCAAGCTAGTCACCCTGTCTGCACTAAACATTCATAGACAACAGATCTCTAATCCATACCTATCTAACTAAGAAATAACCTAACAAACACAAGGGTTAATGATACAACAACATTGGTCGGACTATGTTTGTGCCAAAGGCAGTTAAAGTATTTTTCCAAAACACACCACAGGCTTTGCACATTTCTCTGCCTCTACAAGTATGGATGCAAGACGAGTGCCAGAGTTGAAAATGTAATGAAAGGTGACATTTTCACCCACATCTACCCCTTCAGACATTACTGTATGAATATCTGCTGCAGAGATTAAGCAAGAAAAAGTTGATAACATATTACAACCACCATTTCCAACAGTCATGGTGACAGATGGAGGTGGCAGAGAGGTTCAGGCTGCTTAGTGATGTGTGGTGGGGGTGTGTACAGTATAATATAGTGTACAAGCATGTCAAGAAAACATGATTAAGGCTCTATGCTGTGACATTTGTGACTGACTATGTTGTTCATTTCAAAGTCTGAATGCAGCAATATTCCTCTGCACAAACAAAATGAAGTGAGAGGAGAGACACAAACAAAAGAAACATTATTACTCACAACCTTGGCACTTTCAATTTTTCCCCCTTTGTTAACACACCTCAACATGAAAATCCATGGCCTTACTTCAGTTTTCACAAGACACACACTTTTCCTATATTTAAACTTTTTTTTTCAAAACTCTACACAGAAATAAATCATCCACTGTACGTTATGCTCATTCAGCAAACACCTGCAATTAATACAATAAACAGGTTGTTTTTCCAGGCAAAAACACTGGGCCCCCAACTTTGTGACACACCGAGCAGAATCGCAGGATCCTATAAATAGGGCTATCAGTATGCCTATGTGCTCTGGAACAGCGGATTTTAGCCAATCAGCATTTGTGTATCACAGGGACTCTGCACCTCACTGACAAGTGTATCAGTTTCCTGGTGTGAAAACTGTCTCTGACAGAGCCTCTCCAGATCAGCCATCATGACATCACTGACATCAATCAAAGTTAGGTTTTCCACGGTGCTCTTAAAGGGGATGGCTTGACTGGCTGCCATCATCATTGACACAGTACTACTTTAGTGGTATTTTTTTTACATTGTGGGAACCAAAAAAATGCACGTACTACTGACTACAGTAGACTCTTACTGACTGACAACATGGCAAGTAGAATTATAAACAACAAGGGAACTAACTGTCTGTTCATAAGCTCTGCATTTCTCAACAACTTTAATGAATGTAGAATGACTAACATACAGTATTACTAATGACACAAGCAGGGCACGCAGTCAGTCAATAAAAAACATTAGGAAGAGATTTTTTTCTGGATGTAGTCATGACAATTCTGATTTCAGTTCTCCCAGGAAAGGACAAATCTGCTTCACATGTGATGCAGGAAGGGTGGGGCAACATAAAAATTGTGTAGTTGGTTTGTGAGTGTTCAGTTTAGATCTGTTCGGAGATAATCCCCATAGTACAAAATTGTGTTTCCCAGGGAGTTGTGCACTGTAATCACATATTGTTGAAAATTTGTTTGCTATATCAGTTTTCTAACAGCCATTAGCTTGGGGGGGAGTCTCTAATTTGATGTGTTATAAAGTTTCTTTCTTTCTATGAAACCAGGAATGTATTTTTATTTTTTTAGTAACCTATACTGGCCAATAAAATAGTAGTTTATCCCTAAGTAGGTCAGAGAGAAAGGTGGGATGAAGCGAACCCCGGGCAAGGAGGAGCTATAGAGGGTATAAAAGGGATGTCTTGAGCTCTGTAGTCATTCTGCTCTATGGACTAGAAACAGATGCTGTTAGGGTGTTTCTGATTTTTTTCCCCCAATAAATATTATACTTCCCAACAGAATGTTTAGACTTTGAGTGATTTTTGACAGCAGTTAGATAACTGTGTGGGTGAAAACTTGACCCTCACTGGCCCAGGGAAAAGTTCATCCACAAAACATATGTGAGCAAGCAGAATAAAGATAGAGAGAAGACAAAAATGTGATGAGATATGTAAAACTGATGGTTTGTGAAATATTCAGTGATCTACATTTCTGACTTAACAGTTTTTTTTGCCAGGAAAATCAATACATTTGATTTCTGCTGCTCCTAAAACACTTCTGGTATTTCACATAATCACAGTGCATAAGAGAATTTCCAGAAGTTCCAACTTAACTGAGCTGAGGGGTTTAAGTGAGTGTGCTTTAGGCACAGTATGTCCATTCAGTTTTATTGTTATAGCCATTGCAGTGCAGTCTTAGAAAAGCTGTTGTGAAGGCTATGTACAGTAAGTTATCTGGCTGCATATGGCTGTGGATGCCTCAGAGGAGGGAACATGTGTTGAATCATGTGGGATGGAAGAAAGAATGCATAATTTAATTTAATTTAATTAATTTCCACCAGCATACATTCACAGGAACACAGAAAGATGCGCATATTCTGTCCTACAGTGATTAAAACAGATGGAAAATTTGCTGTTTTATCAGCAACAAAGAACAAATGGGCAATGAATGCATTAAATCACAATCCAAATAAATGCTCCAACATTCACATCATAAACATGTAGAAATAAATATACCGTATTTACATCACAATCACTACTGAAAATTACTTTGCTAATCAGTTCAGTGCAATATTAGCCCAGAACCCTTCTGGATTTCATTTTAGTTATCAAATAATCCAGAAGAATGGTGTTAAGATATTTGGTATGGCAAGGGTTGAGGATCAGAACTAAAAATGACAGAACTAATTAATTACAACACTAATGATTAAATGCCTCTGGCAAGGTGGAGGTCAAAAAGTAACAAATGGATTTAGCTGGAATTTTTTTTGGACAGGTAGGTTATGGCCTACTGAGCAATTAATTTGATTTTGCTGCTGATCTGGGTCATCATCCACATTCAGGATTTTTGTTTTTTAAGGATTCTTTGACATTGTGAGATAGGACCAATTTCAAAATTTCAGTTTTTAACTCCATACAGAGTGTCTACAATGCTTGGACAAAAACTATATGATAACGCCAAAGTCTGATTTGGATTCAAGCAATATCCATAATGTTCA